ATATTCTTGAGATTTATCCATGTTGAAACATGTAGTTCATTCCTTTTAATTGTGTAAGATTACGTTGTATGACATGACCAGAGTTTATTTACGTTACAACAAACAGCATTTTATTTGTCTCATTTTGCACAAATGTGAGTTTATCTAGAATAGTTACCTCAGCTATGTTTATTTTTAGTTTTGATGGGTACTGCCAAAATGCCTTCAACACAGCCACACTACTTTGCCCTGTCACCAACAGGGCATAAAGAGTACCTGTTGTTCTTTCAAATCCTTGCAAATCCTTGATATTATCAAATTTTATGATTTTTTCCAATCTAGTGAATTAAAAAATGGTTTCTCTTTGCTGCTTTAATTTGCATTTCTATGATTATTGATGAGCTTGAGTAACTTTTATATATGTTGTCCTGTTTTCCTTATCCGTGGCTAGCCTGTTCACATCCTTTGTCCATTTTTCTATTGAGTTATTATTCTCTTCCTTATTAATTATATCTGTTATATGTATTGAAAATATCTTGTCCCAGTATATCACTAGATAATTAACTTTGTGGTGATTTTTTTCAATCTAAAAGGTATATTTTATTATTTCCGACAGATAGAGGGGCTAATACATAAAACCATTCACTTGACCTTAAAAATCAAAAAGGAAAATAAAAGGGAGAAGAAAGCAGAATATAGTGGTTTTGAATATTAAAGTATTTTTTATTTTAATAATTGAATTTATCAAAATTTCTCTTTATGTTTAATGCCTTTGTATTTGTCATTCAAAAGGCCCTTTTTACCCCATAGTCGCAAATATATTCTTCTATATTTTATTCTTATTACTTTTACTTTTAAGCTCAGTTTTTAACATTTAGATCTTAAAAACTTAGAATTTATTATGTGTAAAAATGTAGCTATATTCTTTTCTACATGAGTAGGTAGTTGTCTCATCACCATTTATGGAAGATTTCTTTCTTTCCCCACTGATTTGAATTGTCAATTTTATCATGTAACAAATTCCATAGATTTTTTCTACAATTTGTATTTTGTTTTCTTCTAATCTATTTTGTCTATTTATATGTCACTATTTCACAGTTTTAACTATTTTGCCTTTACAGAAACAGTGTCTTCTTTTGTTTAAGCTGACTTGGTCTTTCATTCTAAGCTCTTATTCTTCCAAATGAATCTTACAATCAACTAGTCAAGTTCAGTGAAAAATTCTGAGAGGATTTTGATTGTTATAGCACTGAAATTAATTTGGGGGAGAGATAACATCTTTACAATATTGAGGCTTTTAATCCACAAATGTGAACTATCTAATTATTCAGATGTTGTCTTAAGGACAATATTTATTTATAATTTTTGGAAAGGTGTAGACTATCTTCATAGTTTTGTCCGTAGGTATTTTGTGTTTTTCATTGATGTAGATCAAAATTTTTCTGTTTTCTAATTAGTTTTTGCAGATGTATAAAAAAACTATTGATTTTTTAAATCACTTTTATTGAGGTTTTTCATACAATAAAATGAGCACCCACTTTTAGTGTATCTTTCAATGAGTTTTCACAAATTTATATTGGTAACCACAATTGTAACCACAGTGGAGATGTAGGACATTTTCATTGTGTCCCTAAATTCTCCTGTGTTCCATCCCACTTTATGGAATGCTGGCCCTGGGCAACCTATGATATTAATATCTTCTGTAACAATAGATTAGATTTTTCTATAGAGTTTTTTAAATAAATGTAATTATATAGTGTGTGCTCTTTTGTTTCTGGGTTCTTTTGGTCAGCAAGATGTTTCTGAGGTACATCCATGTCATGACTAGACGTTCCTTCCATTTTATTGCTGAGTATTATTTCATTGCATGGACAACTTTTTTCCATTTGGGGCTATTACAAATAAAGATGTATGAAGATTTACATTCAACTCTTGTGTGGAAATATCTAGGAAATATCTAGGCATAGAATTGCTGGGTCATATGGTGACAGAATGTTTAATTTTATTAAGAAAATAAAAAACAAAAAAAATTGCCCATTTTCTAAGATGTAGTATTTTATATTCCCCCCCAAAATATATGAAATTTCAGGGCACCCACATCCTCTCCAGTACTTGGTGGTGTGTCTATTTAATTTTAGCATTTTTATTGGTTGTGTAGTGGTATCATATTGTGCTTTTGATTTGCATTTCCCTGTTAACTACCGACATTAAGCATCTTTTCTTTTGCTAAAACTATTCGTACATTTTCTTTAACAAAGTGTCAGTTCAAATCTTTTGCCAATTTTTAAAATTGAGTTGTTCATCTTCATATTGAATTTTAAGTTATTTTTATATTCTGGACTAAGTCTTTTGTCCAAAATATGTATTGTGATTTTTTTCTTCAAGTGTGTGACCTGTATTTCTTCCTTCCCTTCCTTCCTTTTTTCTTTCTTTCTTTCCTTCCTTCCTTCTTTCTTTCTGGCTGAAACAACAAAAATTTATTTCTCACTTTGTGGAGGTTGGAAGGCCAAAATCAAGGTGTCAGTTAGATACAGTTTCTCCTGAGGTCTCTCTCCTTGGCTTGCAGATGGCCACCTTCTCACTGTGTTGTCATATGGCCTTTCCTCTGTTTGTAGGCATCCTTAGTGTGTTTTTCTTTTCTTACAATGACACAAGCCCTGTTGAATTAAAGCCCTACCTTTTATGACCTCATTTAATTTTAATTACTTCTTTGAAGGCTCTGTCTCCAGATAGAGTCCACATTGAAGATTAGAGCTTCAACATATGAATTTGTGGGGCTGGGAACACAGTTCACTCCATAACAATTCCCAACCCAGGAAACTTTTTCTTCCTGTCTTCTCTAACAGTTTTCCTTTTCTTTCTTCTATCTCTTAGATATAGGAATAATTTAGGGCTTAGTATTAGGCCCTCTTTTTTTCTCAATCTGACCCCAGTTCTTCTTTTACATTCTAATGATTTCAATTTTGTCTACAAGCCATTGGCTGCTGTGTTTCTTTAACTACAAAAGAAGAAAAACAAATTCTCCAAATGGAAACATCACATCAAAGGATCATATCTCATTGAGGCCGGGGGTGTATGTAGAACCTTCTCCAAGGTGACACTCTGGTCCAGTCCTCAAGAACCAAAAATGCTCATCTGGAATTGTGTTAGTGTTTCATTTTACATCCCATTACACAATAACAATTAGCATTTTTTGAGTATTTACTATGTGTCTGGCATTCTTCCACGAGCTTAACAAATGTTAATTCATCTTTGTAAACCTCATGATAATTTTATCCTCGTATTATTCTAATTTTACACAGTAGAAAACTTAGCTATAGGATGATGAAATAAATTGCTTAAGGTCACACAGCTTGTGACTATAGTTATCTTGTAGGCTCACTCCAGGGCTCATACTCCCAACCATGTGCTAAGACTGTGATTATGTATATAACACTTATTTATGATACAAGTGACATTTCAAGTCAGGATAAGAAAGTTTTAGTCAAAAAGTATATTATAATAAATAGAATATGACTTGTGAAAAATTAAGATATTCTCAGATTTTTTTCTTCCTTTCCCTGTGCCCAAAGTCATGATATTCTTTTATATTATCTTCTAGAAATTTTACTTTTTTACCTTTCACATTTAAATCCACAGTCTACCTTAAATTAATGTTTGTGTTTGGTGTGAGGTAGGATCAAGTTTTTTTCTTTTTTTGATTATAAATATCCAATTGACCTAACACCATTGATTTAAAAGATCATTCTTCCTACTTCCACTGTTCTATCATGCCACCTTTGTCATAAATCAAGTTTCCATATATGTATCGGTCTGTTTCTGGGCGCTATTTTTACCCAAAGTTATATTTATCTATCTTCTGCCTTAATTACTATAGCGTTATAATGTCTTGACAGCTTGTAAAATTGTCACTTTTATAATCTTCTTCAAAAGTGTCTTTGCAATTAATAGTCCTTAATATTTCCATATAAATTTAGAATCAATTTGTCAATTTCCACCAAAAAATATTTTGATTGAAATTATATTGAATGT